GTTTACCATTTTAGATGCGGATTATATCACGTGATACACGTGATATAACGTGATATAACGTGATATATGATAAAGTTTTCTTATTTGTACTATTTTCGATTCTTGTAGTCTCTGTATAGTAAATTCTGAAGCTATGCTCACTTCAAATTATAAAAATAAAAATAAAAAAATATTATGGATTATTATAGACAAATATTTATTACAATGATTTTTCATAATGTGGCCAAGTATTTAATGTGTTACGACCGAACTGCGCCACACCGAAACTCCAAGAAATTCGCAGGTAATCTAAATGATTGGCAGCGTAACAGTATAATTTACACATAGTATAATTTATACTTGGTATAATTTAGTATAATTTATACCAAAATTATGAACAATATATATATAATGGGTGAACGGTAAGGAAAAGAGGACTTATTTTAGTACTAATTTTTAGTTTAGTTTAGTTTTATCGGTAATATTATAGGTCGCCAGTGGAGGCAGCAATATTTTATCTTTTTGTTATGATTTATGAATTAGTATTTATTTATTTGTATTATTTCATTATTTTAAGTTATTATTTATTTCGAATAAATTTATATTTTAAAAATTTAAACATATACACTCTATTTTCGTGATAAATATAATACGAATTTCTGTTACTATCACGTGACCCAACGCATTTCGATAGTAACAAATGCATTAAAAAAAATATTTCGTATTATTTTTTTGATGAGAATATTTTGTTAATATATTACAATTTATTTTGAAAGATGTCAATCACTTAACTGCGATATTAATAATAAAAATTTTTTATATATTGTATTAGTAATTTTGCATATATTTGAAAATTAAATAAAATATATAAATATTTTTAAACTTATATAAATTTATATGAAAATTTTATATAAAATATATAATGACATATAAAATATCTATATAATATTTATTTAACTGTAAATTACATATAAATTTATATTTAAATAATTCTATATTCATACAATTTTATATGAAATATTTATATAAAATTTATTTAACTATAAATTATACATAAACTTATATTTAAATAATTCTATATTTATGCTAATTTTATACAAAATATTTATAATATTTCTACAATTATATAAAAAATAAATAAATAATTCATATGTATTACAGATTTATAAAAATTTATATAATAAATTTACATTAGATATATATAAGATTATAGATACTACATAGACTCTACAAAAAATACAACTCCTGATGTCTTCCATAACTCCCGGGTTTACCTCCCCTTTTTTTGTTGATACTTACTGTCCACCCGTCACTTTCACTATCCTTTTCTTCTTCTTCCTCAACCCCATCACCTTGTTTAGCCAACGAACGCTTTTTACCCTCTTTTACTGCGTCTGCAACTTGTTGTTGATATTTTTTGGCTACTTTCATTAAAATTAATTTTAATACATCCGACGCATAGATACAAACTTTAGTATGAAACAGTTGAAACACGCACAATTACAAAAAGATCATCAAATGTGTACTATAGTGGTCTAGTGATTTCTTACATAAACATTGTTGTTATTGTAGTACAGTATTACTAGTATTTACCCACTTTTATTATTTAAAGGACTCCATACAGAGTCGCACAACTTCGGTAAATTTCATTTCTGGATTCCGAGATTCTTTTTTTTTTTAAAAAAAATTATTAAAAAAAAAAAAAAGAAATGTCATATAAATTTTGGGAAGCTGCAATCAACGATTATGAAAAATTGCTTAAAACTGGAGAAGGATCTGATGTTATTATATATGCTGGCGAGAATGAAAAAGAATTTCGTGCTCATTCGGTTATCTTATGCGTTAGGTCTGAATACTTTCGCGCAGCTTTCTCAAAGAACTGGACAGAGAAAAAAGACGGAATGCTTATTTTTAAAAAACCAAACATTGAATCCAACCTGTTTCAAATTATTCTCAGGTAGGCATATACTGTATATATTTCAAAAAAATATTATATTAAAATTTAATAATTATGTATACGCAATTTTTATTAGATTCATTTATTGTGGAGACATTGATTTAACAAAATTACAAGGTTTTGAAGTATTAAAACTTTTAATTGCAGTGGACGAATTGGATATTCAACCTTTAATTTCATGTATCCAAGAATACTTCTTAACTATAAATAAATCTGATTTCTTATACCAAAACCCTATAGAAATTCTTGAGATGGTTTATCAACATGAAAAATTCACAGATTTATGGAATTTTTGTTTTGATAGAGCTTGTGAAAAACCTGAAAAATTAATCAATTCTGATAAATTTATTAATTTAAAAGCATCTTTATTAGAAATGCTTTTAAAACGTGATGATTTTGCTTTGGATGAGATTATTATATGGGAAGGTTTAATTAAATGGGGTCTTGCCCAAAATTCTACTATACCAAAAGATGTTAAAAAATGGAGTAAAGAGCAATTTACAATTATGGAAAGAATTCTTCATATATTTATTCCATTAGTTAGATTTCATCACATTCCTTCAGATGTCTTTTTTTATAAAGTTTTACCTTATAAAAAATTGTTACCTAAACAACTAGTTTATGAGATTTCAGAATATAATATGGTTCCGGATAAAAAATCGACTATTAACATACAACCTCCTAGGAAACAAAAATTATCATTTAAATTTGATTCATCCCTTATTGACTTTCAACATTTCGCAATATTTGCCAGTTGGATTGATAAGAAAGATAATTTATATTATAATTCAAGAAATATTCCCTATAATTTCGATTTACTTTGTCGTGCAAGTAGGGATGGAAATGATATTAATCAATTTCATAATAAATATGATAACAAAGGAGCAACTATTGTAATTACAAAAGTTAAAGGAACAAACCAAATAATTGGTGGATATAATCCGTTTGCATGGGATTCAAGTGATTCAGCAAAAGCAACAACAGATAGTTTCATATTTTCATTCGCAGATAAAAACGACATAAGTACTGCAACAATTGGTCGAGTTAAGAAATCAAATGGAGCAATATATTGTTATAGTAATCATGGACCAGGTTTTGGAAATGGTTGGGATTTACATTACAATAATTATGATAAGAAATGGCATTGCTCAAAGCCATTTAGTTACCACTCAATTAATTTAACTTTCACAAACTTTACTGCAGATGATTATGAAATTTTCCAAGTTATCAAAAAATAATCAAATGACTAAAATGAGTGATATATTGCTTTGAGACTTATAAATACTACTAGTAGTGTATATTGACAATTTGTATACGGTATTTAAAATTCAATTAAATAAAAATATGAAAGGTTATCCCGTTATTTACATAATTTGTTAATTAATTTATTTATTTATTTTGATCAAATTATTTCATTATATATAATGAGGTAAATATCCGAATATATTTTGTGTTCCGGTTATTATTATTCGTTTTTGTAAAAAGAAAAAAATTAGTTTCACTTTTAATTATTATATTATTATCAAATAAATTTAGACGCAAAAGCACATATTATCTTTTCCAGATAGTGATCCGAAAATAATATTTTCTTAAAACATTAGCTTCATATAGATAATTCTTACATTGTTTGATAAACTTCGTTATTAGTCGTTGATGTGCGTCTCTTATTTAAAGTATAAAATGATGATAATGGCTCTATGAAGTCCTATTATATGTCAGATTAATAACTATAGCGACAAATTACTAATTTCATAAAACAAATAAGAAGACACTGGCTGTTGCAGTTTGTCTTATCAGTGTATTTAATTTTATTTTAGCAAAATATCATTTTTGGGAGGTATATTCACTATCGCAAATAAGCTATTGACTATTAATAAAGATAGACTAGAAATCTATTACAAACAACTAGTTTATGAGATTACGGAATATAATATGGTTCCGGATAAAAAATCGACTATTAACATACAAACTCCTAGGAAACAAAAATTATCATTAAAATTTGGTTCATCCCTTATTGACTCTAATCATTTCGCAATATTTGCCAGTTGGATTGATAAGAAAGATAATTTATATTATAATTTTGAAAATATTCCTTATAATTTTAATTTACTTTATCGTGCAAGTAGGGATGGAATGGATACTAAGCAATTCCGTAATAATTGCAATAACAAGGGAGCAACTATTGTAATTACACAAGTTAAAGGAACGAACCAAATAATTGGTGGATATAATCCACTTGTATGGGATTCAAGTAATTCAAAGCAACAACAGATAGTTTTATATTTTCATTTGCAGATAAAAAAGACATAAATACTGCAATAATTGGTCGAGTCAAGAATACAAATAGTGCAATATTTTGTGCTGGTACTCTTGGACCAGCATTTGGACCTGGTGCTGATTTGTATTGTACTAGTGGGAAGCAATGGTAATGCTCATCGCAGAACCATTATTACTCAATTAATTTACCTTTCAGAACGTTTTTTGCAGAAGATTATGAAGTTTTTCAAGTTATCAAAAAACAATCAATTGGCTAGAATTTGTATACAATAATTTAAATTCGGATGATGAAATTATTACGATAATAAATTATCCTATTTGCATAATCTCGGTTCTTATTTATTTATTTTTTTTTCTATTTTGATTATATTATCTTTAAATTTGCGTGATGAATCACATTGGTACCTTTAAAACCTCGAAACTTTAAAAATAAATTTCACTATGCAATCACTTTTATCTAATACTGTATTTGAATGATTTTGTAAATGATTACTATTCAATCGACTTCTGTTCTCCCACATAATCGCAAGTTCTATATCATATCGAAGAGCTGTTATTTTCCTCTCTCCCACCCGTATAAGACATTTCTGAGTTAATAATTTCGATCGAATCGAACAGGAAAGAAACATAAGATGGGAACTTAACTTTCTGAAACAGACAGATACGCTTTGGAGTTATAAATTCTTAAGAATTATTACAACTTCAATTAAGCTGTAATTTGCTTGTACAGTAGCACTATTATTATTCTGCTGTTACGATCATGAAAAGTAGTAAACTCGACTTAAAACTTTATTCTTCCTCTGATATTTTTCATAACTTATCAAAGTAATCAAACTATTTGGGCATGATTTGAAAAATTGCCATAACAACAATCTTAATGATGAAAAATGAGAGATAATATTCCGGCAAAAGTGAGTATAATGATTAATGAGGGTTGCTCTTAGTATTTTTTGAACGTATATTAAAGGGAACATTAGCAGTTATAACAGCGTTACCAGAATTAACGTATGTAAATTCCTAATTTTTTCTGTACAAACCATTCAGGCAGCATCGAACCACAGTACTTACACTATTTTTGGCCGAATAAATTCTGATTTATCACGGTAGATAGTGCCGTTATCTTCCAAATAATCTAATTGATTCATTCAAGCCAAGCAAATGTTGCTTTCATACTTTTCGAACTCTTGCGAGAGCTGTTGCTTCTAGCGTATAAGAGATAATACGTGGGAAAAAAAATGAAAAAAGGGGAATATTAATAAATCAATACTATATACATTTAAATTAATAGAAATAAAATACAGTATCGTACATTGCTGAAACTTCCGATTTGGTGACTTTAACGCCGCTTTAGGGTGTCCAGGATTTGACGATCATGATTTTATAGCGATTTTGGCCAAAATTTTGCGATTTTTGCGATACCGC